CAGAGAAATTGACAGACACAGGTTTGACATACACAGGTTTGAAAAAAATTTGGACTAAAGATAAAGTCTTGAGTGTTCATCAGTTTAAGGATCATATTTATAGCATGGAACTAGGTGAAATCATCTAAAATTGTACAGAAAAAAAAAAAAAAAAAGACAGCCCAGGATAGATCTCTGAGGCAATCCAACATTTAGAGGTTGGATTGAGAGGAACCAGCAAAGGAGGCAGACAGAACAGCTGGTGAGGTAGGAGGAAAACCTGAAAAGTGTGTCATTACAGAAGTCAATGAGAAAGTGTTTCCAGAATGAGAGAACTGCCCATTGTCAAGGAGACTGATGAGGGCTTGACTAGAACAGGGACAGTGAAACAATCTCCCACAAATCAGAAGAAATTCATCTAATACTGCTTCAAAGGAATGAAATCTTTCAACAAATGCCTATGCCTAAAATGAACTACCTTGTGGTTCTTACCCAACTTAACATCTTAAATAAAGGGAGGTATTTCTGGTGAGGAGTGGGGAGGGTGAGAAGAGTAAAGGCAAAAGTTGACTGGGTATCTTAAAAAGAGATGATCAAGGTAAAAATCTCTGCATAAGTTATAAAGCAGAATAGCAGAATAGAAAAGTAAAGCTTACGTACTGATTACTAAATAATATTAAAAGTAAGAGATCATTGTCGGTAATAATGATTCTATTGACTGAAATGTATTTTTACTGGCCTCAAATGAAAGATTTAAATCTCTAGTAACAGCAGTCTGAGAAACAGGGAATTGCAAAACTGAAAAAAAAAATTAAATAGAAACAACTGAAAGTTTTCTCATGAATACTACTTAAACAGGAATTTCTAAGATTATAACTGTTTAAAGATTCAACATATTTATCTGCACCTAAAGGATGTCACTAAGCCTAGGTAAAGCTGACTAGCAAATGCCTTGACACCAGGTATTGCCTTAAACTTACCCAGGCCTCACAAAATTGTCAAGGTAGTGAAATTTAAGTTTTGATAAATCAAGGTTTCCCCTTGACGGGTTTTAAGCAAAGGCCAGTTCTCTTCCAGTTGCTTTTCCCCCAGTATTTGTCTTTATTTCTCAAAGAGGGAAAATTCAGTACCATTATTATTTTACCAAGGATGTCCTCAATTAACGTACGTCAAAAAAGAAGCTGCCTCAATAATTGTAAAAGTGGATTTAATTGATAGTCTTTAAAGACAAAACTTGTTCCAAGTTGTTCTGAGTAAATTGTCTAGAGAGGTCAAAATAAATTTAAACCAACCCAGCTCATACTAACTAATCAGTCAGGGAAATTAAGCATAAATTGTATAATTCTTCATTTTGAGCTTTGAAGTAATTCTTCACATAGAGTTTCTGCTGAAATTCAGCATGTTTGAATTCCCTGAGTGCATTTTTAGGTGAGGATTTCATAAACATAAACCCCAAAGAGAAAGGAAAATCCTCATCTCTTAAAACCTCAGTTTCAACCACAATTAAATGGAAATGCTACTACTTGTCCCATTCTCTCATTTTAGAAACCCAGAGGAACTGTGCCTGTGGCCTTGGGCCTGAAGCATTCTTCTGATCAGAGAAGGGAAAATCACATGCTAAACAAATGCTATGGGAATAGCCTATGACCAAATAAGGCCTTGAATTAAAAAATCCAAAGTAGTTTTTACCTGTAGGAGCCTAAAACAGCCCCTTAAACAGCCCCTCAAATTCACTTACAGATCCAGACAGAAGTAGAAAGGTATTTGCTCACTGCAAACTCTCTTTTCTCACTCCTCAGGCTTAACTGGGAAGTGTTGGTGTCAAAAAGAACCAAGTTGGGAAATGGGGAAGGTGACACTGGGACACTCGTCTTGCAACTGTCTAAGCGTCCAAGATGGAACTCCCCCTACAAAGAAAAAATAATGAATTTCTCTTTCTTAAAACACATTTTAAAGATTATTTTAAATAAAAGATCCTTTTGATCTTGGCAATCTCTTTCCCATCCAGAAGCAGTGCTGTCTTTGCCTCAGCCATGGCAAGCTGACAAATGTAAAGAAGAGGGAGAGAGAAGTCTTCAGTGTAAGCAAGAGTTCATTTTAGAATCTTTAGACCTTAGCAGTCACACTTTCTAGATCATTGCTTCAGAGGAGTCTGCTCAGTAATGGCAGATGTGTACATGACGATGTGAGGGAAGAGTTTCCAAACACTCAGCTAAGAAAGTAAAATAATGATGCTAATCAAGAACAGTGATGTATGCTCACCATATACCCCCTCTAGTTCCCAAGGGAAGTCCAAAAGGAATTCTGGGCTAATTCCCGTTAACACAATGGAGTTTGTACACACTATACCCCTCTCCTCCATCCTCAACCCCAAAGATACTGACTCAGCAACTGGCCTGGAGCCAGAGCAGCATATTCCAAATTCAGAGTGTGCAAGAATGTTCGGTTCAATTATGACATAATGGCTGCAAAGCTGTTCCTGAAAGCCAAGAAAACCTGAATAATGTGGTTGGGTTATATCATACATGAGGCCTTAATAGAGTTTAAAAACCAATTTGAAAATTCCTTCATTCCATAAAGATAGCATTAAGATGAGAGCAAAATCATTCTAGTTCAAGGGATGGGAATAAAGTACATAAGGAATTATGCAGACTCCTTTCCACTTTATCCTTCTTAACCAACATGATCCATTCCCTTTGAAGATATCTCTTATACTTAATACTGACCTAGAAAGAAGACAATTTCATTAGACATCTTAGTCTTATTGTACCCAGCTAGTAATGCAAGTTTCCCTGCTATTTAAAAAGCACATAATCCCATTTCCAAAAACAACTGTTTGCAATTCAAAAACCATATACCCAGGCAATGTCTTCTCTTTGTTCCTAAAATTCCACCCATTTTCAATTTATCTTGTCAAAGAGATGAAGTTATCTTTATGCTCCCACAAAACCTAAAAAAAAGATAGTTCATTCATTGCTAGCCATTTTGTAGCCAATGACTTTGGACATTTGAGTTGCTAAATCCACCATTTCTCTGGACTTGTGATAACAGTGAGACCTAGGCCTGTAGAAATACAAAGTTCAATCTGAAAGTTGGGAGCCAGCCACTCTCGACATTAGGCTGTGGCCTCCCTCAGTTATGTGAGATTCTACCATCTTCTGAGTCCTAGTCTGTTTTTAAACAGCTATCATTGATAAGAGTTTTTTAATGTTTTGGAACTGGAAGTGACTTTGGAGATTCCCCTTGCTTTATGTATAAGGAAACGAATGCTTAAGTCTTTCATACTATATTTTTTAGTTCATTTCTCTATATTTTCTCCTAGAATAATGGCATGTTTTTGTGTATAATGAGATCAACACAAAATTTCAAAACTAGAAGAGATCTCCAAGTTCAACACTCTTTCTTCCAAAGAAATCTCAAAATACTTTTCATATTATTCCTCAGAATATACCAATTAACAGACACTTCATCTTGTATAAGGCTTAATTTAAGGATGGAGAGAATGAGGAAAGTCTCAGTTTCAGACAATAGAATTCTTTTACCATAAAAATCAGGCTCTGTTCTCTAAATCCAAAAAGATTCACATTCATTTCATTTTTGAACCTGGAGAAAGGGTTGAATTTAGATCTTTTTTTCCCCAGATTAATGTCCTGGGTTTAATGATTCTATTAAACAATAATACCATTTCTCTTCACTGGGTGGAAGGACTATGTGTTTTAAGAAGCGAAGAGTTAAAAAAAAATCAAATAATTCAAGTCATGTCCTTTCCTCCTGACTAAACTAAAAATCATTTCCCTACTATTTCATGATTAACATGAAAAAGCACTGGAACAATGAGAGGAAATTCATTTGTTTCCAGTTGTTAACAGCGTGATTTCTGCTGCAATCCCATTGGCAACAGAAGGCAGCAACATATACCACCACTGTCCTATTACAACACAAAAAGCTGTCAAATTTGAACTCCTTTGAAATGTTGTTAGTAAAGTAGAAAGGGTAAGTGTGGATTTCCTTCAATATTATTTGGGCAACCTAGACTTAAACAGTGACCAGACTTAAGATAGTGACACTATAGAGGTTCTCTATCCTTAAGGCAAGACCAAACCAAGATACTGGTGCCCTATGTAAGATAATAATTTGGCACACTTTCAAGCAGATACTCTTCAAACATTTGCTAACAGGTGTTTGGGTGAGGCGTTGCATGGCAGGCTGGAGACAGTGTGGAGACAGGGTTGCTAGAGGCTTTTAGCTTGCATATTCTACTCAACACAACAAAGGACCCACAACTGACCAGGCCAGATCTCCTTGGAAGGCAGTTTGATGAACATCTAATGGATTCCCAAATATACTCTTCCCTGCTCCAAACTGTTTATTAAAGCATTACTTCTGTCTCTAGTTACAACCTGAAAGGAGGTTACTGTTTTATATTCTTTTCTCTATCTTGTTACATTCCCAGTGTTTTATACCCTTTATAGATCCAATCTTCCTTCAGGGACACTATCTTTTCATTTCTATAGCCTTTACTGAGCATTTGCAATGTGCCACGTGCTGTGCCATGTATTAGAAATATAAAAGCGATTAAGATATTGTCCCTGCCCTTAAGGAACTCATACCTCGAGCAGGAGAAAGACTGACAAATAACACAATACCACAGTGATGAAGGCTGTAACAGTAAAAAGGCTGTTACTAGATATTACTGGTGAAATGGTCTGAAATCCTTGAAGATGGATACTTTCTAAAAACAGTAGGCACTTTGAGTTTCCCTCCACCTCTAGAAACTTTAACTTTGGTAAGGATTGAAATAGAGAGTAACATTTTCACGTTCCCTGTTCTCTGTAGCTGTACTAGGATGGGGAGTTAGGGATGTAGACTCATATCTATGCTAAACTTAGCCAAAACTTTTTATTTTGCATATTCTTCCCCAAATGATTTTGCTCCTAAAATTTGTTATGCAATACTAGAGGAAGGATAGAGGAAGCTCACCTAGTTCCTGCTACACATTGTATGTATGTAGCTACACATACCTGATCCAGATGATTTCTCCCCTTCGAAATAACTGCAAACAAGATTAAGACTGTATTCAAGAACTATTCCAGCTGGCTTTTGGCTTCTTCTGATGTACAGTCCTTGAATAAAGCAGTGGCAAAAATTGGATTTGAATAAGGAACATAAAAACACCTCACTACTTGTACCAGATCACCTCAAGGTCCTGCTATATTTGAAACCCCAAGCCCTAGCACTAGAGTAACTGAATACATCAGCCAGCCAGAGTATATATAAGTTATAAAGTACAAAAACTTTAATAATTAAAAAATAACCTATTTTAAAGGCATCTCTCACAGTGCCTCTGGGTACTTTAGAGCCAGGCATCTAGAACAAAAGAGAAACACAGTCTAATACATTCCCAAGTTGGAAAAATCCTCGTTTCTATTACTTACCTGCCAACAGTCTATCTAAATAAAACCACACAGTCACATATTTCTCTGATGAAGGAGACCAAAAAAATACTGATCCTTCCTTGGCATGTGGCTACTGTTGCCACAGCAGCAGGGAAGAAAGACAATCTGGGAATTCTGCCTGTGTAAAGCACAAGCCCCACCAATGTTAATTTTCAAAACAGGGCCTTTCTGGTTCCAGGCGAGTGCTCAGCAGAGCAGGACCCAGGCTGTTGGGCTACAATATTTCACATAGACCCATGATTAGTTCTGCTTTGCCCCGGTATTACCATAATCACCCAATATTTCCAGGGTATATCTTTTTTCCCAGTGTTTTAAATCTTTCTGCTATTTACCTATAATGCATCTCAATGTACAGAGCTCCAAATGTTAGTAGAGAGTTTCACATGTATTTTTATAAGCTAGTCCTCAGAATACGACCAAATCAGAAGACTGTGGCCTTTAATAAGCACCTCAACTGCTTAGCGTTGTGCATACCAAGGCACAGCTCTAGTGGCTGCTGAAACAAGGAACTGTATGCTAATGTTGGGAAATGCGCTATAAAGTATTGGGATATAATAGATCTTAGACACCATCCCTGTCCTTGAGGAACTGAGAAACTTGGGGTCAAGCTAAGGCCATATTATGGATTTTTTTTTAAAGTGCACTAAAATACAATGTGCCACAAATATACTATTTATTAATAAACAAGAATAAAGATCACCCAAGCAAAACACTCGTTAAACACAGCCTTAGAAACAGTCACAAGCCTAATTCACAATGACATTTTAGTGGAGACTTTTCTACCCTTGGACTTACTAAAAAACTGTATGAGCTGCTATTTGTCAGAAGTGAGTATTTGTCGAGAATGTACAGTCTCTGATTTATTCTCTCATTGTTCAGTACCCGGAGGGCTGCTTTTGCCCAATAAGGCTGAGAAAGATCCAGACAGCTGATCCAGAGAGCCCTGTACTCACAATGTTCCCTGCTGCACCTCTCAACCTCTTCACCCCAATTAAAGGTCAACATGGCTGCTCAAAAATATTTATTTAAAAAGGCAGTCAGCTCAGCAGGCTCCCAAGTGTGAATACACTACCACTTCATAGAATTCAATTAAACCCGGGACGGGGCATCTGTGAATCACTGGAATAAGTATGAAGTTGAGATATTTTCTGCTTTGTCCTAAAAAAAAAAAAAAAAAAAGGCTTCCTTTTCCCGCCCGTCATTTATTTACTTCCCAGAGCGCCAGCACAGACACACGCACACGCGTTTATAATCTCCCCCCGGTGGTTCATGGATTTATGGCTCCCGGTTTAATTAAATTCCCTCTAACGACAATGAAAATTGGCAGCATGCGGCACTGCGAACCCCAGCCAGCCTGCGCGCCGGCTCAGAGCCGGAGAGCCGCGAGCGCCCACCCTCGGCACGGGGTAGGCGCACCCACCTGAGCCTCACGCCGCCAGCATCTCCGCTTCCGCCCCGCGCCGCGCACTTCCGCCGCACCCGCCCTGCACTTCCGCCCCACTCCGGCAGCGCTGCCGCTTGGGCCCCTTCGGAGCTGGTCTCGTTCTGTGCTCTCAAGAGTTGCCGCGCCTGAACGTTTAGTCATGAAAAGTGACACACAAACCAAGGCCAAACTAAAAAACAAAACATGCAGAAGTGATCCCGCATGTTTGGGAACCATTTAATAACGAGCCTCAGGTGCAGAGCCAACGTTTTGAGGCTGTGGAGTCTGAGCCATTTTAAGCCCTCTGCGTGGATCCATTCTTTCCTTGATTTAATATTTACTGTCCTCCTTTTCTAGGTCTTGGCTGAACTAAGTAACGAGGAATGCGATGAGCAAAAACTGGCAGCCGTACCCTCCCGCAAACTGAAAATGATGGGGGAAAGCAGGCATTAGGAAACTATCCCTTATTAAATAGGTCATGCGTTTATTCCGCTATGTGCTTTGCAGGGAAGGAATATGAACCTATGAAAAGATCTGAGAGGAATCTCATTGAAGAGGTAGCTTTGGGGCTAGAAAGGGCGTGGGGTGGGGGACAGCTCTGCAGGCTGTGGGAACGGTGTGGTGGAGGGGGTGCCGTATGGGCTGTACCCGGAAGACTGATGAATATGGCTGAGGCTTGGCATGGGGGAGAGAGGTGGAAACAGGCTGGAGAGGGTAAGCAAGAGTCTGGCCATGCGGGGCCTTTCAGGTTTGTGCTAAGAGTAGCTGGGGGCATGTCTGTTTTATGTGGGAAAGGGGTTGAACTGATTGCTTTTCCATTCTGAAAGGATTCCTCAGCTTTGGGAAGTAGATGAGAAGGGTTTAGGATAGGCAAGAGCAGAGCAAGCAGGGAGGTGAGGAAGCTACTGAGCAATCCAGGTTCTAGGTGTGGTGGCTTAAATGGTGGTACAGTAAATAATGAGAAAATGATGGATAATAACTATAGTAATACTCAAGGCTAGCATTTATTAATTGCTCACAAAGAGCTTTATACTCATTAGTCTGTTTAATCCTGAGAACAATGCTATTAAGTACCATTTTACAGATGAAGAAATAAAAGTTTAATAACTTGCCCAAGTTCTTACAGCTACAGAATGGTACATTGGAATTCCATCTTATGCTGTCTGATGTCTTAAGCTTACCACTATATATTCGATCTATACTCAGTGGTCTTAAAAAAGATACAAAGCAAACCAAGGTCAGGAATGAATTCCTTAAACAAATCACACTGATTTTGTGGTCTTGCTAGAGGCCACATTAAGAAAGTAGAATGTACAAGTTCTTTGTCACTTCAGTGTTTTCTGACAGGCTAAAGAAAGAATTTTGTGACTGACAACGGACTACCTATGATTATTTTTCAGTTGCTGCACTCTGATGAGACTTCATTTTTCTGGAAAAAAAAAAAAAGTCAGTTGATAAAGCACACTCCACCTAACAGTTGCTAATAGCATGTCTTCAAAAAAGGAATCTGGGATCTAGTTATACACACCTTGGTGGAGTATGAGTAAGTTAGATACTGTGGAGCGACAGAAAAGCTTCCTAGAAATGTAACTCCAGATCAGCCTCCAAATCTCATTTATTGTTGGAAAACAAAGGTTTATAAAATCATTTGGATTTATGAAACCTGATTTCACCCACTGAAGGAAGAGAGTGGATTCACCAAGGCCAAGGAAGGCTTTTAGCATTGGTTATGAGTAAATTTCTCTAAGGAGTCAAAAGTTCACAAATTTTCAGAATTTGAGTTTAATGAGTAAGAATTTCTTGGGTTTGTAAGTGATAGCAGAAGATCTGGAGCCTCCACGCCATTGTTTTGGTTAGAGGGAGTCCTGTGGAATGTCTGGGAATTCCTGAGAACTCACTGTAGTTGATACCCTCTTTGGGAGTGCCTGGCTGACTGCCATGAGCTCAGAGGACCAGTTTAGCCTCTAGGGGAGGCCCACAGTGCTAGGGAAAGGAGTTCTGTTTGTGAAAATATCTGGAGTCTGGCCAGGAAAAATGATTGTCTACAAAAAAAAAAAAAAGGACAGTCATAGCAAAATTAATAAACACGTATTAAATGGTCACAAAATCGAACACCGTGTCAACTTCATTAATGGCTGGATTTAGCATTCATAACAACTTCATTACATTGGAAAACAGTTTTTAGATGAGATGCTTTCACCGAATGAGAGTGCCTGAGTATATGCGATGAGTGTAGAGAAATTATATTTTACTTTAGACAAATAATTTCACAAGCAAAATTTGAAAAATCCTTACATAGAAAAATTATTAAGTGTGAAATGTGTATACCTTTTAATATGTTTCAAGTGATGTGAAAGAATGTTTTAAGAATGTTAAGGTCTTAAGACAGCTCTGGATCTTGTACAGTTTTGTTTATTCAAAACGTGCTTGTTGCTGGGTGCGATGGCTCATGCCTATAATCCCAGCATTCTGGGAGGCCAAGGTGGGTGGATCACCTGAGGTCAGGAGTTTGAGACCAGCCTGGCCAACGTGGTGAAACCCTGTCTCCACTAAAAATACAAATATTAGCCTGGCGTGTTGGCATGTGCCTGTAATCCCAGCTACTCAGGAGGCTGAGGCAGGAGAATTGCTTGAACCCGAGGGGAGGAGATTGCAGTGAGCTGAGACTCCATCCTGGGCAACAAGAGCGAAACTATTGTCTCCAAAAAAATCCCAAAAAACAAACAAAAACTCCATGCTTGTCATTAGGCATTTGACTTGCGTCTCCTCCTCTAGGTCTGGACTGCAATTCTAGGCTATGCTCTACCAATCTGAATAGAACTGATGTAGGGATCTCTGTGTGCTAGAATGTTCAGAACTCACCTGCACTGAGTTCTTCAAAGGTCATCTCTGAGGCAGAAGCCTGGTATAGAGAAAGCCTGCTGCCATAGTCGGATCTGTAACTCCTGACATAACTCCAAAGGTACTTTAGGGGACACATGACCTGTTCTTCCAGAGACGACCTGGAGGCCTCTGAAAGGGTGTGGAGGGAGGCATCTTCACTCCTGTCCCCGTACCTTTGGCTCTGAGAGAGCAGAAAGAAAGAAATGACCTTTGATGTCAATATATTCCCTTCAGAATGCCGTAGAAAAATTATGTATGTATTGGCAAGTAGTGACTGTCATGCCAGCTCCGTTTTACAGTAGCTTGGCTCTGTGTTGTCACTCAAAGAACTTGCAATTTGAACTTTGACTAGGAGGGACAGTCTCAGTAATTGCCACAATTAGGTGATGCAATTGTTTTGGTGGAGAGATTCAGAAACCTGGTAGGTTTTCTTTCCTGGTGTATTTCTGGTCTTTATAGTGAGCATATTTGTTTATCCGATGAGTCTCCCATCCTCAGGTCTGCAAACTCCACAGGAAACGATCTGTAAGGGCCAGATACTGTGTTATGTTTAAGGTCATGGAGAAAAACAGTGGCAACCTCCCAAAGAAAAGACAAGCTTCTGAGTCTGGGATGTGCTGGGTTAGTGGGGTCACTGTTGACTCCCCCCAGGCCAACCATTACGGGAAACAGAAATATAAGCCCGACTCACCAGGGGAGAACGGATCTCAAAAGCCTGATTCTTATGTCCCCTTGGACATTTAAAAAACTCTGCTCTTCTGCCAGACAGAGGAGAGTGAAGTGAATTTTAAAAGGAGAAAATGTTTATTTGTTTTAAAGCTTGCTCAGTAATCCACTTAGGCCATTTACATAAACAACCTTTCCATGTAAACACCATTAATTATGTAGTATAAGAGCCAAATAAAAAGGCTAAAAAATAAAAGTAATTGTAGAATAAATTAGTATGGCTTGAGTCCACAAATGTAGAGAAACTGTAGATTTTTACATTTTATTGAAGGAAGTGGGTGTGTTTTTTCTTTTGTTTGAGCTACTACAACAAATGACATTTTACAGATGGATACCAAAGCTGTTAAAGTTTAAAACCATACTGGTGATGAAATTACAGTTTTTGCAGAGCCCTTTGACTCAAGCCTCTTTATCTGTCTTGAAAAGATTGTGGGGCAAGATAGGAGTTGAGTGTTCTGTGGATTTCCCCAGAAGGTTTGTTGGAGCAAGACCATTGTTGTCTACTCCAAAATCAGTAGCTTCCAACCTCCTTTCACCTGTAATAACAGAAGATTACTTGTGTCTGTGCCAAAGGAAATGAATTGAGTGCAGCCTGCCAGGCACAAAGAAGAAGGGCAGAAACTGACACTGTTGACGAAATATGGCACGGGGGACCTTGTAGTGACAATACCAGGGCACATTTTTGTCACCCTTTGTAGTACGGCAAGAGTCTGTATAGATATCATTTAATTTGATTCTTCACAATAATTCCGTCAGATAGACAAAGCATGCATTTTTATCAGTCCCACTTTACAGACAAGGCAATTGAAGCTTTGGGAAGGAAAGCACACGAAGCTGGGATTGGAAAGCATTTCCTAACTCCCATCTATATTTTTTTCACTACCCCATTCATAATGCTTTTTAAATGAAAAGAAACATGGTTCAGTTCCTAGCAATATTTTGTGCTATGTAGGATCTTTTAAGAATGTCGAGTGCATTTACATTATTTCCTCAGGGAAAGTTTTATTTTACCTGGACAGGCAGGAAATGGAGTTGAAATGGGAAAAGTTTTTCATTTTTATGGATTAAACCCATCTGTTATGTTCACTAAGGCTGGATCATGGAGGAGGATAGATTTCTCATGGCATAAAGAGAGGAAAGTAAAGTGCACCTCCTTTGTTCCCTGGTTCAGATTCACACCCATCCAGGGAGCCCTGTTCAGACAAAATAGGGCAGCCAGCCTATCAGTCAGAAAGAAAAGATACTGTGGTCCTCAAACGTGCCCCAACAGACTGAACAGTCTTCCACAAAGTTGAAGTTAACACTTATTGCTCAAAAGAATTCTGAGGGTAATTTTTTTCCACATATTTGAACCTCCTTCAGAGACATCTGCTTAAATATTTTATTATGTTATTGGCTGTGTCTGCATAGGACAAAAATAAAGGAAAAATTTCAATTTAT